CTCATGATAGATGGTGGGCACCGGTTTGGTCTCTTCACTAAAACGGATCTTCAGGTTGGCCGTGAACTTGTCAACTTGGATCTTTGCATCGTAAGCAACGTGGTTATGGATGTTCTTATAAGCTGTGATCACGCCGTTGTAGGTGTGGAGTGTGGCGTGACAGGTTTTCATACAGCAACGCCGGTAGACTCTATCTTCTTTCCTATTTTTAACCCTGAATTTATATACCATATACTAAATTCTTCCCGCCTTGACCGTTAGGAATCTAACTGAATGCTACTTGTGCGTTTGCCATGACTGCACTGCCAATTTGTGGGATTCATCAATTTTGGGGGACACCTATGCCGATAGTGCCAGCACCCTACAACTGTTGCCAATAGACGAAATAGATTTCCATAAAACAGTTTCCAAATCTTTAGGGCTTGCCGAAAATCTTAAGATCAACTTCTGGATTTTGTCATCCAGATATGGCCAAATGATCTGCGATCCTATTCCAATGCATTCCAACATATGCTGGAACCTATACATTATCGCATGCTGTGTACTTCGTGTTTAGACATTTATCCGATTTTAATATCTCATAAACAGAGTCATCTCTGGGTCCATGTGCACTAGCTTCTATAGCGTTTATTGCTGCCATGGAATCTGTAAAGATACTTGCTTCATAGTCATGTTAATCGACCCATCTCAGGGCGTGCAAGCACCCCAAACCAACATTATGCACACCTTCAATGTTTTCTATCCAGAACCTTTGATCATCTTCCGATACAAGATTCCGTTGGGTACAAAGGCAAAAGAGTGGTGTGGAACACCACTTGGGCAAGCCCAAAGGTTGGATGTAAGAAATATGGAGATAATTGCAGAGAGTTTTAAAACATTTCAGCTGGTAAGTTCAGAAGAGTAGGGTTTTGAATAAAAGCGTCAAACCTCTTTCGATATTCACAGGAAATAAGCAAACATGCAAAAGTATAACGTACTCTGAAAATCATGAATCGGATATTCGCTGACAAATCACAAGACCGATGACCCAAGTAAAAAAACAACAGAATTGTGAAGCAGCAGTAAACACGTAAAGTTTGACAGAAATTGGACTAGCTTTTGTGGACCAACAGAGCAAATATGTCTTTTGTCATGAATCCAACCCCAGTGGCTGTCGTTTGTCCGCATCTGTCTTTGTGCGTGCTTTTGGAGCAATATGTTACCATTCCAGCTGCCAACAGAGTTACTCCATCAACTCAGCTCCGGTTTGACTTCATTAGTCAAGTGCAGCTGAAACAGGATTTCGTTGTTGCCGACAGTCCATTCTGCTCATGACATTAGTTTCCCTGGCAACACAGCACGCCAGAGTGACATACACAAACCAGCACCTTGCGCTAATGTTCCAGCCCCAATTCCCCTTAGAAATCTAGACAAGTCATGTCTCAATTAATGTAGTATGCATTTTGGTACTGCTAAGGGGCACTCCAGAGGCACAACTGAGCATCCAAGAAATTCTCTCTCGTCCTCTGGATTGAGGGATGATTTGTCGCTGATTAATCGCCAACCTAAAATCCCCAATTAACTCAGTACAGTATCTCGACAGGCATATATATATGCAGGTGGCGCTGAAAGCTAGTGGTCATCAACAAATGAAGTTACCCTGAAGACTACTGATCTTGCGTGGATCACCATTTCAAGTGTTGTCTTTTATGAAATACTACGGGCTTATTTTCAGTCCAAATGGCAGAACAGCCTATTCCTAATAGTGATCTCTGGAACTCCTTGAATACGAATAGGAAAATACATATGGTAAAACCCAGTCTTTAAATACTATGTGATCATATGATCACCAACTTCTATGACATGTTTTGGGTGCGAGATATTTTCATATCTAAATGAGACTGTTCAGTTGTCTGTAATCAGTACTGGACCAGTGTGAAACCTTTTTCATCAACGCATCACAGCTGTGCAATACATTTTGGATCTTGTCATTTCTTCCTATAGCACCGGTTTGAAGCAAATATTTCATTTCAGAGTCAGGTAAACTTGTTTTCAGAACAGGTGTAACACCTTTCCACTTATACAAGACAAAACGAAGTAAAGTGGACTCACAAACCATGTCATTTCAGAACACATTTGACAAGTATCCCCGAGATCACCCCAAAACATCAATACGTGACGCTGTGTGCTTGGTGTCAACTGTCGACTGTTCAAGCACGTTTTGAGTTGCCCAGTAGTATCAGCTACCTGTAGGGCAGGATATGCTTACATTTTTCGCGAGCATCTGCATGACTTATTTTTAGCATTCCATTCATATAATTCTCAATGCTGTTTTGTCGGATAATCTGATTGTTCTCTGGCATTGACGTTTTACGCATTCTAACAAAACCATTTGCCTGCTCCTTGTTAATATGCAATATTAGCCTGCATGAGTCATGACCATAGTCAAAAACAAAGGCATATGTGAGATTTATTATGATTAATTTATAAACAGAAATCATTTTCGATGAATTAGAATGAAAATGCATTGTAATGCCGATTGCATTCTCCGCAGTACACAAAGTAAAAGTCAAGGGCTCCAAATTAAAAATTACACAAATCAGAGTTCATTGAAATAGTGCATGACGAGTCCATTAATGACACAGTAGTCAGGTAGCACGTCAACACACGCCTCCTCGTTGACGTCGTCAGTCGGCGGATAACGTCAACAGGAATCCTGTTCCATAAGTTCAATAGAGTCCTGTCGGTTCGCTGGAGTCGGTACAAGTTGTCTCAGCTGACGATCAAGATGATCCCTGAGATGTTCAATGGGGTTCATGTCTGGAGAACAAGGTGGCCAGGGCAATACGTTGACGTTAACGTTGTTCAGGTAGTCTTGAACAATTCGGGCGGTGTGAGGCCTTGCGTTGTCTTATTGCAAAATTAATCCTCTTGGGTGATGTTGAATAAAGGGAACCACAACAGGTCTCAACACTTCATCCCTGTAGCGCTGTGTATTCAGGTTTCCTCGGATGATAACCAGCCGTGTTGTAATCTGGCCACAAATGCCACCCCATTCCAAACGGGTGGGGGGCGGCCGGGTAGCCTGGTGGTTAAAGAGTTCGCTCGTCATCCAGACATGGGTACAATGGGTACAGCCGTGATATTGCTGGAATAAAACCAAACTCACTCACTCATTCCAAAAGGATGAACTTCTCTAATGCAATTTGGCGCCAGTCGCTCTCCCATTCATCGAAAAACTCGAACTCTGCCATCGTTCCTGAACAGACAGAACCGACTTTCATCTGTAAAGAGCACTCTCGCCCAGTCACGTCGCTGCCACCGACGTACAGTTCGAGTCCATTGCAGTCTGCGTTTTCGGTGTAGACGGATCAAGGCCATTCCACGGAAGGGTCGGTAGGCTCGTATAAACCAGCCGTACGAAGTCGTCGAAGGACTGTTCGCCGTCACACATCTGTTTCTGAGGTGAATCTGCCGGATGTAGCGGTCTTCGGCCGGTGTTGCCACTCTCGGTCTTTCCGATCTTGGCCGGTCTTGAGTCTGACCTGTCTGTTGGTAGCGGATTATTAACTTGCTGAATGTTTTGGCTATCTGACGTAGTTTAGCCCCCATGTTGGCCATACCGATCGCTCTGTCTCGTTGCGCCTCTGTAAATCTGGGCATATTCTTGGTGGTTTTTTGCTTACTGAATGCCTGTTCTGTCCAATTACAACGTCGGTATTTATGCCACAATGACGCACGTGCATTTGGACCAATGTCTTAAAATCACGTTTTGCACGTTTTCAACAATGCATGATTTGGAAAGCTGTGTTCGAAAATCTGCGTTGTGGTTGTGGTCATATTGCATTTGGGCGAATGTTTTCAGAGGGGGTTCAAACCTTTACCAGCTTTTTTGCTTTTTATACAACTATTTTTAAAGTGAAAACTTTCTTTTGCCCGGTAGTTAAGTATGTCAGTTGTGAGTGAGTGAGTGAGTTGGGTTTAACGCCGCTTTTAACAGTATTCCAGTTATATCGCGGCGTGTCAGCTTAATGTGGGAGGAAAGCCCGAAGTGATGCAGGTCTCTGACGTTGACCACTTCGAACTTGCCGAACAAGGGTGGAATGACTGGGCTCGATCGTAGCGCCACCAGTGGCTATTACCAGTTACGTCCATTTTAAGCCTCTCCTATGGACCAATCAGATTCCACCTCTCGTATCACTTCAAACAAAATAGTGGCGCCCAGTCAGGACGACCTGATCTATAATCAAGATCTATATTGTCTAAAAATGGGTCATACATCGCTAAATGCATCAAATCACGTGAGCACCTTGATTAAAAACATGAAAAGATTTGGAAATTATCTGCTTACAAATGCATAGACTCGTTAGTCCAGCCAAAATGTGTCTCCATAATACCAGCCTAGTTCGGCAAGTGGGGAAACTGAACTTTTATAGTAAGTTAACGCCCTTGCCTCGGGATGATGGAGATAACTGGAGTACTCCTCGAAGTAGCGTTACACCCAACTCACGCTTATCACGTCAACAAGCAATGTTGCAATGTATTAGTTTTACAGCATATTCCGGGTAGCCTACTGGTTAACGCGTTCGCTCGTCACGCCGAAGACCAGGGTTCGATTTCAGACATGGGTACAATGTGTGAAGCCATTTCTGGTGTCTCCCGTCATGATATTGCTGGAATATTGCTTAAAGCGGCGTAAAACCAAACTCACTCACTCGCCCACTATAAAACAAGCAAGAAGTGTCTTCTGGGATTCCATTGTGGGGTGATGTAGGCATGAATGATATCATGACAATACTAATTGTCCACTAATGGAATGGTCTGGATAGCTCTCATCAGCGATATAGTGATTCCACCAGTGACATTCAAATGTATAATGTCTGTGTGCAGAGCTGCCAGTGTAATGTTACGTAACGGAGAACATACGAGGAACTGTCGGTTTGTGAACAGGAACAGCCCGGTTGTGGTGAAGTGACTCTTATTCACGAGCAGTCAGCAGGTATGTTCTCTAATTTATTCCCCTTTTCTCACACTTAAAATACATCCCCGCTTTTAGACTTTGACAAAATATTTCTGTGTGGAATATATTTGACAAAAAAAACACTTTGTTGTACGTATATATACTGTGTGAGTCGCCTTTGCCTCCTGCGCGAGCAAAATGTTGACGATCGGGATCATGTAAAGTGTTGAAGGGCCAAGTTTCGTCGCGATTTTGTCTTTAATAGCATGGCACAGGCTCTTGTTCAGTTCAGTGCCGCATTGCATTGCCAGATGACTATGTATCTGTTTGTGTTTAGGATTTCGCATTTTTATAGTCAGACCCTGTGCTGCGCGACCGCAATTTTCCCACAACGTTCTATTTAGAGTGAGTGATTTGGGTTTAACGCCGCTTTTAACAGTATTCCAGTTATGTGACGACGTGTCAGCTTAATGTGGGAGGAAAGCCCCAAATGATGCAGGTTTCAGACGTTAACCACTTTTTTCCTGCACTTGTAGTCACTGCACAAACGTTTTTTTGTTTTGTTTGACGCCTTGTTGGTATTTATTCTCCTCTGGTGGGCGTATAAACAGTGTTTATGTTGTTGTCGTTATTTTATATGTTTGTTTTGACATATGCATGGAACTCCTTTTCTGTACAATTAAGGCGATGAAACCCTTGCCAAATTCATAAGAAATGAGTTGATTGTAAGATTCCGACCACATCATGAACACGAGTTTATGAATCACTATCAGAAAGTGATGATACAAATGTTTAAGAAAAGGCAAGCGTATTCTGCCTCATCGGCGGCACAAGTCACAAACGGGAACACATGGTACAACAGGGAATTGCATCGGACATCATTCTTGCTACTGATGCGTCAAACATGTCTACTATACACCTTTTATGAAGCTTGACTGTGCCCTTGGACGTTGTAAACTTGATCAAACAGCTTCTTAGCACGAGTCGTATGAATTCCCATAGGTACAATAAAATATTGCCTTGTCTCAAAACGAAACTGCAAACTGCAAATAGTTCAAGGCCCAAAGACGTGCTATGTGGAAGAGGGCCTGCGTGATGACGCTAATGAACCTCGGTTATACGAACAGATCCTGAGGGGATTCCTTTAAACTAAGTCTCCTGACCACACGTTATCGCTCTCCAACAAGCATATGTTTTATTGACCCCTAGACTTGCAGTTAAATTTCTAGTTGTCCCTAATAGAAACTGTAGTCCTCCACATATCTAGCCTTGCCTATTAGGAGGATAGAATTACTACACATCCATGCACTTATCTTTCAGTACAGCCTTGGAGCAAGACTTATTTACCCCCTGCACTTTTTCAGCCACGGCTCACACCAGTGGAAAGTTTATATTTAGATACAGAGTTGATACAACATCTCTGCTGCCACCAAGGCTTGCACACAGGTCGACTCACGCCCGGAGCTTCAACGCCCACCCCACGAGCCTCCTGTCCTCGCCTTTCTATTGTGATTTCAACTGTTCTCGTATCAAACATAATACGGCTGAAAATAGGCATCAATAAAAAAATGATAGCTTTAAAAGAACCGAGTTCCAACAAATTGAAATTCTACCTAGCGATTGGTATCTTTCTCACGCGAGTTATGTTGAAATGTCTGTTTATTCAGCAGTTTGAAAGGGACGTGAATATGTGAAATTTGTCTTTCATTTTGACCCCAATATCATTAAAGCTGCAGGAAGCAACACTGTTGCCTTGGCATGTGTTGTGTGCACAGTCAGGTGATTGATCACTTTGTTTGTTTGTTTGTTTGCTTGTTAGTTGTTAAACGCCGCACTTAGCAATAAATATTCCAGCTATTTGACAGCGGGATAATTGTGTAAAGCAATGTAGCAAATATCATCAAGGTGCTTATGCAGTTATTAATTAATGGATTATATCCCAGTAATTTGTGCGAGTAAGTAACGTGACGACTCCAATGTATTCACGTTTGCTATTTCTCTTCACAATTACAACCACATTACAAAGTACCAAGCCTGCAACGTTATGTATCGTGTGTGTTTTTCAATGACCGGTGGTGAATAATTCTGGGTTGTTATCTCTTTCCCATCGTGGCGCATCCCTGCCGCAGAGTGAATCAAACAGCAGCTGCCTCCGTCTGTGCTGGAAGCTGGCGTTTATGCTGCAGAGGAAACACTAGGTAAGTAATACGTGCAGTAAATATAAAACATGTTTTATTTGTCACACAGTTTCACTAACCAGCTTTTGTCTGTGTTGTAGAGTTCTTGGAGATGGATGTGAAGACGGTGCTTCTCTTGGTGGCAGGGATGTTAGGTAAGGACAATCTTTCAGAGTGTGCGAATTGAATGTAACGCCGCATTGAACAGTATTTAAGTTATGTCAGGGTGTATCAATTTGGTCTAAGACGTTCCCCGATTCGGTGGATGCAAACAGTGCGAAATAATGCAAAGAGACCAAGAAGCATAATCAGGGGGAATCTCGATTCTGACCTACGATCTACGGATCCTCTCACGGTCAAGGGGCGCAACTCATGGGTCATCAGACCGAGCGAGCAATTGCCTCAGAATGATGAAGGGAGCGTGTCATGTCCTTGTTTCACAGTTAAGGTGGTCCCTGATATTGTTCTGTTGTTTCCCATATCCCATTTATCCCTGATATTGTTCTGTTGTTTCCCATCTCCCGTGTACCCCTAATATTGTTTTGTTGTTTCCAATCTCCCATGTACCGCTGATATTGTTCTGTTGTTTCCCATCTCCCGCGTATCCCTGATATTGTTCTGTTGTTTCCCATCTCCCGTTTATCCCTGATATGTTTCTGTTGTTTCCCATCTCCCGTGCATCCCTGATATCGTTCTGTTGTTTCCCATCTTCCCTGTACCCCTGATATTGTTCTCTGTTGTTTCCCATCCCCCGTGTATCCCTGATATTGTTCTGTTGTTTCCCATCTCCCGTTATCCCTGATATAGTTCTGTTGTTTCCCATTTCCCGTGTACCCCTGATATTGTTCTTTTGTTTTCCATTTCCCATGTATCCCTGATATTGTACTGTTGTTTACCATTTCTCGTGTATCCCTGATATTGTTCTGTTGTTTCCCATCTCCCGTGTACCCCTGATATTGTTCTGTGTTTCACATCTCTCGTTCATCACTGATATTGTTCTGTTGTTTCACATCTCCCGTGTATCCCTGATATTGTTCTGTTGTTTCACATTTCCCGTGTATCCCTGATATTGTTCTGTTGTTTCCCATCTCCCGTGTATCCCTGTTATTTTCTGTTGTTTCCTATGTCCCGTTTACCCCGATATTATTTTGTTGTTTCACATTTGCAGTGTATCCCTGATATTGTTCTTTTGTTTCCCATCTACCGTGTAACCCTGATATTTTACTGTTATTTCCCATTTCTCCTGTATCCCAGATATTGTTCTGTTGTTTCCCATCTCCGTGTACCCCGGATAATGTTCTTTTGTTTCCCATCTCCCGTGTATCCCTGATATTGTTCTGTTGTTTCCCATCTCCCGTGTATCCCTGATATTGTTCTGTTGTTTCCCATCTCCCGTGTACCCCTGATATTGTTCTGTTGTTTCCCATCTCCTGTGTATCCCTGATATTGTTCTGTTGTTTCCCATCTCCTGTGTACCCCTAATATTGTTCTCTGTTCTTTCCCATCTCCCATGTACCCCTGATATTGTTCTCTGTTGTTTCCCATCTCCCGTGTATCCCTGACATTGTTCTGTTGTTTCCCATCCCCCGTGTACCCCTGATATTTTTCTGTTGTTTCCCATTTCCCGTGTATCCCTGATATTTTTCTGTTGTTTCCCATTTCCCGTGTATCCCTGATATTTTTCTGTTGTTTCCCATCTCCCTTGTATCCCTGATATTGTTCTGTTGTTTCCCATCTCCCGGGTATCCCTGATATTGTTCTGTTGTTTCCCATCTCCCGTATATCCCTGATATTGTTCTGTTGTTTCCCATCTCCCGTTATCCCTGATATTGTTCTGTTGTTTCCCATTTCCCGTGTACCCCTGATATTGTTCTTTTGTTTTCCATTTCCCATGTATCCCTGATATTTTACTATTGTTTACCATTTCTCGTGTATCCCTGATATTGTTCTGTTGTTTCCCATCTCCCGTGTACCCCTGATATTGTTCTGTGTTTCACATCTCTCGTTCATCCCTGATATTGTTCTGTTGTTTCACATCTCCCGTGTATCCCTGATATTGTTCTGTTGTTTCACATTTCCCGTGTATCCCTGATATTGTTCGGTTGTTTCCCATCTCCCGTGTATCCCTGTTATTTTCTGTTGTTTCCTATTTCCCGTTTACCCCGATATTATTTTGTTGTTTCACATTTGCAGTGTATCCCTGATACTGTTCTTTTGTTTCCCATCTACCGTGTAACCCTGATATTTTACTGTTATTTCCCATTTCTCCTGTATCCCAGATATCGTTCTGTTGTTTCCCATCTCCCGTGTACCCCGGATAATGTTCTTTTGTTTCCCATCTCCCGTGTATCCCTGATATTGTTCTGTTGTTTCCCATCTCCTGTGTATCCCTGATATTGTTCTGTTGTTTCCCATCTCCCGTGTACCCCTGATATTGTTCTGTTGTTTCCCATCTCCCGTGTATCCCTGATATTGTTCTGTTGTTTCACATCTCCTGTGTACCCCTAATATTGTTCTCTGTTCTTTCCCATCTCCCGTGTACCCCTGATATTGTTCTCTGTTGTTTCCCATCTCCCGTGTATCCCTGACATTGTTCTGTTGTTTCCCATCCCCCGTGTACCCCTGATATTTTTCTGTTGTTTCCCATTTCCCGTGTATCCCTGATATTTTTCTCTTGTTTCCCATTTCTCGTGTATCCCTGATATTTTTCTGTTGTTTCCCATCTCCCTTGTATCCCTGATATTGTTCTGTTGTTTCCCATCTCCCGTGTATCCCTGATATTGTTCTGTTGTTTCCCATCTCCCGTATATCCCTGATATTGTTCTGTTGTTTCCCATCTCCCGTGTATCCCTGATATTGTTCTGTTGTTTCCCATCTCCCGTGTATCCCTGATATTGTTCTGTTGTTTCCCATCTCCCGTGTACCCCTGATATTGTTCTGTTGTTTCCCATCTCCCGTGTATCCCTGATATTGTTCTGTTCTTTCCCATCTCCTGTGTACCCCTAATATTGTTCTCTGTTCTTTCCCATCTCCCGTGTACCCCTGATATTGTTTTCTGTTGTTTCCCATCTCCCGTGTATCCCTGACATTGTTCTGTTGTTTCCCATCCCCCGTGTACCCCTGATATTTTTCTGTTGTTTCCCATTTCCCGTGTATCCCTGATATTTTTCTGTTGTTTCCCATTTCTCGTGTATCCCTGATATTTTTCTGTTGTTTCCCATCTCCCTTGTATCCCTGATATTGTTCTGTTGTTTCCCATCTCCCGTGTATCCCTGATATTGTTCTGTTGTTTCCCATCTCCCGTATATCCCTGATATTGTTCTGTTGTCAGACTCTGCAGCCTGTAATCCCAAACACAGCCTGGTCACGGATTTGTTTCGCAACTACGACAAACGTGTTGAACCTTTCGGGCCTAACGAGACACTGAACGTGTTGATGGACGTTACCCTGGTCGAGGTGTCCGACATCGTAAGTGCACTTAATATTCATATTGCAGTATTGTCCCAGTAGTTAAAACTCAATTGTGATACACTTAGGTTGTATGTTGCAATGGTGTCGGTATGCTATGAGAAGCACCTTACTCTTCCAACATTCGAATTGACTTTCTCAGTACGATGTTACCATATCCTAGGTTTCTTAGGCTGCCAGGGGCATTGTTACTGAGTTAGTGGGGGAGCTGTGTTTAGTGTTCTATATAGCGTCATGATTGGATCTGGAACAAAGTGTATTTGCCGTTATATTGCAAAAATTGTTTGTTTCGAATAAAATGAAAAGCAAAGTACTTTCTTCATATACGTTAGTCTGCGGAGTAACGACATCATCATATTTCCTTTTCACTTATTGCAGGACGAGAGAAAGCAAGTGATGACGACAAATTGCTGGATAACTTTGGTAAATATGAGAGAGTGAATGAGTTTTACGCTGTTTTGATCAATATTCCAGTTATATCACAACGTGTCAGCTTTATGTGAGAAGAAGTCGAAAAAATGATACAGGTAGTGATTCAAGTATACCACCTTCAACCGTTTTCCTGAAACACTCGAGCATGGGCTGACAAATCAAGGTTCATAATCAGTCCAGGATTCGAACCAGAAATCATTGGATCCTTGAATATCATCATTACTTCACGTGTTCTCCCATCAGCCGTTAATACACGCTTAATTGGGCGCTTTGGGTGTAGTCCCATTGTTTTATGCCAAACAAATCATGCCACGGGCTTGCTCCAGCGTGAAAGAAACTAGTGAGTGCCCTGTCCGACTTATGAGAGTTCAAGTCGCACAAACGGTGATATCGTAGTGCGACATGTGCTCTCCATCGATCTTCTCTGCAGTGTTCCATATCAGGCAGTAGTTGATTTTGCCTAAAATTCATGCACGGAAATTTATACACGACCTCATGTCATTAGTAACAATAGACACACGTCACTAGCGGCCGAGTGTATTGTGGTGTTTTCAAACTGTGAAGTGTTGTCGATGATCCTGGCTACGTTAGACCATTGGTACTGAGCAGGTTTATACACGATCTGTGATAATGAGAGTGTGGTGTTTTTAATGATCAGTATGGGTGTAATTGTACCAAAGTTATCTCAAATCCAGACTATCTATTGAGCAAGACGTTTTATTTAGATTTTGGGGTTATAGTAAAAAACAGACAGACTTCCATAATACTCTCTAAAATATATCACAAGTTTCAGGATAGTGGATCATGCATCTTTTTTCCAGAAATGGAGGGATGCATCATTGGCATGGCAACAGGAAGAACATGATAACGTGACCGACCTACGGATCCCATCCGATGCCATATGGACGCCTGACATTCGAATACAAAACTCGTAAGTACCCCTTTGTTAGAAAGAGCATTCATATTGATGACAATATATCAGAAATAGTTAATGTTGTTTGTATTTGTATATACTAACACTGACAGAAAAAGTTTCTTAAATTGGTTAGTGAATTGCACTGTCAACTCAGACACCAACGTGTTGGTAGACTTTAGTAACCACATATTATTTTGTTTACTGATTAGACTGGTAGATTCCCTGGTACAATTTACTACTCAGTTAGTAGAGATAACCATGGATCTTTCAAAGAACTGCTGGTTATAATGATATAATAATTGATCTTTACTAGTATTCTTAGTATATTCAATAAACCTGTAGTAAGTTGCAATCCAGGCTAGAACAGGTCTTCAGCAACCCATGTTTGCCGTAAAAGGCGTCTATGCTTGTTTAAGAGACGGCTAACGGGATCGGGTGGTCAGGCTCGCCGACTTGGTTGCTGCATGTCATTGTTTCCCAATTGCGTGGATCGATGCTCATGATATCAGTCACTGGATTGTCTGATCCAGATTCGGTTATTTACTGACCGCCGTCATATAGCTGGAATATTGCTGAGTGCAGCGTTAAACAACAAACAATACAATACTTGTAGAAACTTGCATGGCACTTTAATACAGTTTTGTTTCTGTGCTTTTGAGGGTTGCTGAAAACAAGTACATAACAAATGACAACAGGTGAACAATAATTGTTTCTAGTTGTGTATGTGTGTTGTGTATGTTTGTTTACACGATACAGCAAAAAGGAATTGGCAGGTAAATAAAGTAAACAAAGCTTGTTTTACACTGGCAAATGTAGCCAACCTCCCATTGCGTACTTGGTATAAAGCTCATAGTTTTGTCTGTCATGACAAACTATCATCAGCAACGTTACAAAACCAGTGTATACCTAACACTCTGACTCATAAGTATCAAAATGTGTTGTGACGAAAACTGAAAAAATTCACAAACATTTCCATATTTAACAAATGTTATATTTGGGATGACTCTTTCTTAGTAAAGTACGGATTCTCCCGTCCCAGAACTCACACTGCCAGAGTGAGGCACCTAATCGCCAGCACACAAAGCCAGCGATTTAGCCCACTCAGCCAACAAGGCTTCCACACAAATGCAAATCCGACAACTAGTAGTCTAGATCACGAACGTTGTGTACCCCTCTGGCAAGTGTAAATTGCCACCGCTCCCATGGTCGAAAGTTATGAATACTCAATGTCGTTAAGAAAATGACCAAATGTAACAAATGTTATATTTGGAATAACATTCTCTTAGTAAAGTACAGATTCTCGTACTTTTGGGGTTGAGTCCCGTTCGGGATGTCAGGACCCTTACCGTATTCATAAGAAATCTCTGGCAAAAGCAGAGTCGATTGTATGGTCGTATGTGTGTATGAATCACAACCAAATAGCGATGACACCGGGTGTCACAAATCAACGGGCCCTCCAGATCATCAATGTTCTAGGAAGCTGTGTTCGGCCCGAATTATGTCAGTAACTGAACCACAATCAATCGGTACCTTCCTTCAACATGAGTTCTGTCACAGATCAACAATGATAGTTAGCTTAAACACTGGTAACAAAATTATTATTTGGTGTGAGATGAAACCCCATCATTCCATTTAGCAATGCCGTATTTTGCAAATATGTTGGAACATTAATTAGAGTTAACAGCGCTAAAACTGGTTCAAAATAAGCGACGTGAGATTACCCAGGGTAAAGTTTTTTTTAAAATGGTATAACAATGATGCATACATTTTCGCGGCACTTATTATATATGAAGAACTTATATGTTTTACCTTGAGTTTGATAGACTATAAAATATATTAAAAGATATTTTGTCAGCAGCTTCAGTTTCTCCTTCTTTCCGCAAAACGGTAAACGTGACACTGCCTAAAGCGGAATGAACAATACTATCAGTCTTGGTGCCAAAACTGAAATATATTACCTTCTCCCTACAGCAGTATCATGCAGTCTACCAGGCAGCATAGTAAAATCGCTGTTTAATAACCTTCTGGCCACATGATAGTAAACGGAATATGCTTATACATCATGATAACAACCTGTAAGTTATTACTAATTTTACTATTTCTGTTATCTTATACATTTAGCAATAATCTCAATAATCGATAAGGAGTGCAGTACTTTCATAATAGGAAGATACATGCTCCTGGAAAAATGTAAAGCACCATTCATGCTTCATTTCTTTCATCATATATCCTGAAGAACCATGTGTCTCTTGGAAATATCTTAATATTCATGACACTAATCTTACATGGTTCATGGATAGCATAACACCACTGATTCCTGCTGAAGGTTGGTGCAAGAACATGGCGTGTTTCTCCACGCGGGGGCCCATACTGGGTTCGTTATATGACAGGATGCAAAGGTGGAGAGGAATCAATTACTTGTCATAATACAGCTGCAAAAGCTACCATTAGGTTGGAAACTACTGTGTGCTTGATCATTCACCGGTTTCAAATAACCACCTCCGATCGAGATCCGACGGCATACGTTCTGTGGCTGGTTCTCAATCTTCGGATTACAAAACTCTGCATTGAAAAGGCACGTTTATCTTCCGAAATATGAATCACTCGATCACTGTATGTCAATATGAATAAGTCACAAATATGTTTTGTCTGGGAAATGTAGAAATTGCAATTTTGTGTTGATATATAATACAGTAGGCGGTGCTTATCTTTTTTGTCACTCATATGTATGTATGTGTGTCTTGTGAATGTTCGTGTAAATATGCATGTGCGTGTGCGTTCCTTTTTCTTGTGCATGTGAAATGTCAGATGCTGAATCATTTTGGAAAGACAATGATTCTAATTTGAAATAATATGTTGTGGAATACCTAAACACATACTTTCATTACTGCCCAATGTTGAGAAATTGTTCAAAGCCCCTTAAACTAGTTACAGTGACAGATTGAAATTGTTTTGACATGTTTTATTCATTTATCGTGCAGAGTGGAAGTAAACAACCAAATGTCGCCCAGCGAGCACAACAACGCAATAGTACAGTCAAGTGGAGAAGTATTACTGATTTATCAGGTCATCTTAAAAACGATGTGTAGAATTTACGTTGCCTACTTCCCCATGGATCAACAACACTGTGAGATGTGGTTCCTGTCGTGGACATCCAATGGTGATCAACTAAATCTCACAAATGGTGAAAGTGGAGACGTAGGTTTATATCAATACATTGGCAATGCGGAATGGGACATGGTCTCCTTCAAGAAAAGTCGTGAGGTCATATATTACTCATGTTGCCCCGAGCCCTACTTCACATTGACGTACCGAGTGGTCTTGAGACGGAGGCCATTGTTCTTCCTGGTTAATCTGATGATGCCCTGTCTAGTCATCACGTTGGTTGCTCTGCTGGGACTTCTGGTGCCGAATGAATCTGGAGTGAAAATATCCATAGGAATCACGTCTCTCCTGGCAATGATAGCATTGTTGCTTTTTATCTCGACATTATTGCCACCGACGTCTTTAGCGATTCCTCTTATTGGTATGTTTTTACTTCCTTAATGTTTTTAAAAGAGTGAGTGAGTAAGTTGAGTTTAACTCTGCAGTACTTCAGTTATTTTATGGCGTAACAGCTTCAGGGACTTGGCATTGGATATTCGGGTAGTTGGCTTGGATTTAATCGCAACACCGAAACTGTCCAAGAACATGGTTGCAAATATGATTGACAAAAATCTTGAAAAAAAATGGAACTACTTTGTAAAGGGCGCCAGATGTGAACGCTCATAAGAGGTCAAATGGTAAATAAATTACTCTCCTTATTTACGCAGATGTAGTCTTATCTAAAACAAATAGAAGGTTTAATATTCAGAACTTGTTTTTACAAAGGAAACTTTTAAAGCACAAAATAGTGTCATGATTGTCAATCATGTTTACATTGTCAGTGACAAAAACAAACAAAATAAGGCTTTTTAACCTATGAGTTAGCTACATGTATGTATCATTTGAACACGTATTCGTAATAATCACAATACACAAAGTCAGGTGTAATCTTGCAGTTTTAACCGTGCTGCTCCATCAAAAAGTAGGTATTTTCGCTGAAATAGCATTGTTTCTCTTTCGTGGGAAGGTGGTAAAGAAACTGTTAATTTTAGCGTTTGTTTAGGCTTCCTTTTCAGTGGTCCTGACAGTGTTTCGGCTGATCTGAGGCATCTGGTATCTGTGAGGAAAACGAGGGTTGACAAATTCTGAACCTCAAATAGAAGGAATTGCGTAATAGGACAAATATGTAAATGTGTTGTGGACACTGCATGAAGTTGTAGGGGAATATCCACACAAACTTGAGTTAACTGAGCAAATCGTTTCGCTGTTATGAGTCAGTAAAATATGCAAGATTCTGTAAGAAGCCGTAGCATCAAAAGTCATCGATAGAGATATGAGTTCTACACAAGGGAGAGTTGTCCCGTTCTATTCCACCGTAAAATGGAGGGCAGCAGAGTTAAAGCCTTAAGACACAGAAAGGTTTTTCAAATGATTTGTGACTATGTCCCATTAGTTGGAAAGGTTATGGCCGCCATGTTCTGCGATGACGAGGTTGTCAAAATGGTAGACCTTATCTGATCATATTTTGTCTGGCGTTTACGGGATGAAATTAAAACTAAGACACGTGGGAAGCTGACAAAACGTGGTGTGCTCTTGCACCAGGACAATGCACCAATTCACAAATTAGTTATTGCCATGGACAGCCAAAAGAAGAACTTTTACGAAAGTGTGATGCATCCGTCCAACATCGTTTGCAGGTGTTTATCAATTATCAATGGAAGGGAGGTCGTTTGAAACATAAATCGTTTTTAGGTTTCTCTATTCGCGAAACAGTCACCCCTCGTATCACATTCCCGCACTTGGACTAAAAATAAATGCGTGAATCGTCTTATGCCATCATGGAGAAAAAACCATGTTCTCTATGTTTGAAAAATATAAAGATTTGAAGCAAATAAATTATTGCACGATGTTTTTTTAACATAACATAACATAGATTTAGGCTCCTAGTTTAAGTTTAAGTTTATGTTTAAGTAAAATTACAAGTTGGTTTTGCAAATGTAACTGAATAAAATACCAAGTCTCGGGACGCAATCCCATCCTAAAAGTATTATCAACGCAATACCACACGTGTGTTTCTGAATACGAAACATGCTTGGCATTATCACGAACAAAAGACAGCTTTGTCGCTATCTTATGAAAAGATAACGATTCCAACGTGACATTATTGCACCCCCTTGTCCGTTTAGCTTTCTCTAATTCACCAAAATCGCCATGCCTGGATTCCCTGGAAAATATGCACGAGATTGTTATAAATAGCGAATAAAGTAGATGTTGATGCCTTGACTTATGAAGGTGTTTAACCAAATTAAATCAATATTTACTGTATTGTTAAGGTCACATACTTAAAATGTTACTTTTAACGAGGGCAAGGGTGACCCAGTAGTCTAAGTTTTGCAATTCGCTGTGCAGAGTTGAATCCCTAACTTATGCCAGAAACCTATGATAATAGGTTTGAATCCCAGATTAGTTTGTTTCTTGGTTTGTCACCACCATACCCGTGCTTGTGGATTACACCAAAGCGGTAAATCTCTTAGACTTCCATCACTCTTTGCTTTCCCCCCAATTCCAACTGACGAACTCATTCACTTAAGAGACGAATGGATGTAGGATGTCATGGGCAGGATACATTAAAGTCCTTTGAAAGTTTGACAGTGGGTGATGGAGATGACACCTTAGAACCCCGCATATAGTCTCAGATGCATCTGGATTTGACAGACGGATCTTTTATTTGTTTAACTGTCGATACACATGCGTCGATATAATGTGAAAAGAACATTACTCTTGACATTTTCTTCTCAATATATTTCATTACTTTTATCTGGCTTGAGGACAACTGTATCTATACATACATCAGAGGCGCTAACAGTTGTATTGCTGATACGGCAATAACCACTGATATACTCACACATAGATGGTGAAATAATTAAATGAATCTAAATCTATATACCTCGAATAGAAAACAAAATAAACTTTCGAATTATTTATTTTATTTAGAAAATAAGTATCTTAATTATTCATAATCAAGAGTAATTGACAAAATAAAATAAACCTTTTAAAAGTTATCTACTTTCAGCGTTATATAAATATATTTCACAACATTGTCCGAAATTACAAATGACTGTACACAAAGTCACGGATCTGTAAATCCATCCTCAATATCACATAAATTTTATTCATTGGCGTCAATCGTTTTGGTAAATGCCGAGGTGATTTATAACAACAGTTAGCTGTCCTCAGAACCTTTCTGTGACAATCAATAGTCTGTCCTTACATAGCCCAGCGTATGGCTTGAGTGATTACTATGTGCAACACCATAGGTGTTTCATAAGCACATAAGCCGTTTTGAATGTCAGAGTTTGGGAGTACCTGAACACAGGGATTACTTAAGAGTGAGTGCTTGTACTTTGCATCATCAGGATTAATGTCGTGTTGACAGCTTGATGATTGCATTCGATTTTCAACCTGCAGCTCCACTTGGGCATCGCATAAAGATGAAACCCTGTCCTCGCTAGTCGAAATAGTTTCATAATCACAAGAAAGATAATTTATGGATGTCAACTTCTTTATTATAAGGAACATAATGTTTTGGAGTATATGCTTACTCCATCATGAAGGGAGCATGCATGTATCCGAAACGTTGTGTTCCTCATAATAAAGAAGTTGACATCCATAAATTCAATTATCAAGGAGTAAGCATTTACTCCGAAACGTTGTGTTCCTCATAATAAAGAAGTTGACATCCATAAATTCAATTATCACTTCTAAATGCCTTTCAAAGACGTGAGTTTGACATTAGTGTTTGATATTATTTGTTATCAGCATTCTCTGATTTCGAAATTGTTTCTAATCATAATTCCTGTATATTCGATAATCATAATTCCCCCAAAACACACACACACACACACACACGCACGCACGCACGCACGCACGCACGCACGCACGCACGCACGCACGCACGCACGCACGCACGCACGCACGCACGCACGCACGCACGCACGCACGCACGCACACACACTTCCTTATATTTTTTTGGTTGCATAATATCATGCTCTCGAATAAAACATCCTTAATGTGAGTTCTTCTCCCACAGGTAGATACTATGCTGTCTGTATCCTCATTGTGTCGCTGAGTACAGGCCTGGCCGTGCTCACTCTCAATATTCATCACCGAGGACTGAAAGGACACAAACTGCCAAGGCTTGTGAAAACTGTGTGCTTTAGTTTTCTTGCTAGGATCATGTTCATCAAAATAGACATGCCAGGGTCTGACGACCAGGAAATGGTATGTTTGATGCTTATTTGATTCTTTGATACTGTCGGCAATAGTTTCTTTGGGTGAAAACGGTTATTTCATCATTAGGCTTGTGTTCAACAATTTATATATGCAGATGTTTTGGACATCGTATGTGATATATAGATAACAATATTCTTGTATACTGTGGAATGGGGGGGATGGGGGGGGGGGGGGGGGAAATAGTGACTGTTGATGAGAAATTCTTAGAACTGATGTCCTTTAATTGCTATTGCTACGTCCTCATGTGCGTTCTATTAAAGGCTCGGGTTTCCCTCTGACATGCTCTCTATTTCCATACTTCACACACAGGCACGAAATGCCGCTTATGACGAGGCCAACCATGGAGACATACCAGCACCCACCCTGAGCCTGACGGAGGGACAGCAGGCTGGGGGGACGACTAACGTGGTGGATGTTCTCAACCGGCTACTCCACACAGTAGAGCAGGCCATAGGGCTGCAGAAGAGGAGAGTCGCTAAACAAGACAGCCTTGACCAGATTACATATGAATGGAAGCAACTGGCCATCGTCCTCGAACGCGCTCTGACAATCATATTTCTCTTCGTCACTGTTTTCACGACGGTTGCAATGTTCTCCTAGACTCTAGAAGTGGGTGGAACCTGGTGGTAAAGTGTTCGCTTGTCAGACAGCAGACTTGGCTTCTATTCCCCGTATGGGTACGACGCTTATTTTGTCCAGTGATTATATCACTTTCTTGGTTTCAAGTGCCCATATTGTGTTGTGTGTGTGGAGTACTTGATGTTCCATGTTACTGGAATGTTGCTGAAAGAGGCGTCCAACACCAATGACCCTAGCAACCCTTTGGCTTGCATGACGACGGGCACCAGGTTGCCATAGGGTAGCTGTATTTTCTTCAGAAATTCGCTTTAGGATTTGTATATCGTCACGTAAATATGCATAATGGAACTAAGTACATTAGAAAAGTGGGTATTGTTTTTTGTGGTCACTATTTACATGTTATTTCGATTTGCAATGTTTGATTCGTAAACTTTATGACTGATTATTTTCAAGTTGCGAACATTTATTATCTAGATCATTAAATGCAATTCAATTATTACAAGTTATATTGGATATCCTTTCTCACCTGACTGGACATCGAGTGAGCTTATGTCGCAGCCTGTTTACCTGTGATCCGCCATCAAGATCGTCACATCGTTTCATAGTTCGTCCCATTCATGACGACCCCACATTTGTTCAAGAGGTTCGAATCCAGTTTATAGCTTTATTTGGCCACTACTCAGCTCTTTTGTGTTCAAAATGGAATACAATTTGCTACATGTTTAATTAATGTTTTGGGCTGAACATATATTTTCCGTGTTTCACAATAGTTTTGCCATGGTATAGACCTTATTGTTTTTGCCATGTTCTGATATTCGCGTAAAATGAGTATTTGACTTCTGTAAACTGGAATACCCATACAAAAAGAGCTAACCTTTCATGTGTGTTTCCTCTCACGGCGACATAATAATTTGTTCAAATCACTGTAGGATTTTAGTGTCAACAATGCCATTATTAAGCATATTTTAATAACCTGTCACAGTCAATGTGTTAAATGTGATTCACTCAGGCGGTTTACAAAATGCCTACACATTTCAGTTATTTTACAAATTGACTGTCAAGTTGATTTATTTGACAGATTGACTAAAGTGAAGATTATTAAGAAGCTGAAAAGGGCCCAAAAGAGCAAAATACAATAGGTATGCTGGAATTAGAAGCAATAAAACTAACAAAATATATATTGTCTTCTGTTAACCCTTACATTTTCACTGGGTGATTACACTGAACATCAAAATGTGTTGAATTCGTTATCATAAAATAAATGGCCAATTTGTACAGTAATTTTTAAATTGACTGGAATATTTAAGCGACTGTGATTTCAGTCAGACGCTGTTGTTCACGGTCTTGCCACGATCTTGTCACCACAGATTCCAAATTCCCGATTGGGCCCCGTTATTATCATTGGTAAACTCCTCCGACCGTCATCAGAAGGACCAATACAGACACCAACAGAGGGATAAATCCAAACTTATGGGCGTCATTAGCGCGATTATATATTTGCGGGATTTTATAAGCAAAACGGATGTCAAACAGTTCAAACTGAGTTTTATAAGGAAACTATCAGTACATCCAGTGTGGATCATGTTACTACAGGATCTTAAAACAGTTTCTTACTGCATTAAAATTAAAAAGAGCCCCATGATTCTAGTTCAGCTTACAGCAAAGCTATTCGTACGCTGTTTTGTATCATGTTGGAAAACACTCCCTTTTGCATTAAACTGTATGGTCCCATGGTTCTCGTTCCATGTGTTACGAAGTTATAAATACACTCAGCTTGATTTTTAAAACTAAATACATAAACACTCATATTACTGTATCTTAATTGGCTAAAAATTCGTTTGTCATTGAAACCACACAAAAAATCGTCTAAATTTCGCATATTGTACTAACGCTTATTTCAGTAAAGGGTTTTAGCATGCCTATTTTATATAACATCACGTGAGAACCAGTTCTGGCCCCAAGCGGCGGTACTTTTACCATGCACAACAAAAATAACAATGTTCATACTGAATGACAACTTTCAATGTTTTCCACCCAGAACCTTCGATTATCTGCAGACACAAGGTTCCATTAGGTGCAAAAGGCAAAATAGTCGGATACCATATGGTCGCAAACTACTAACGCAGCAAGATACACTCATATTGTCACGAACACCTTTTATCCTCACTATTTGAGAGTGATTGATAAACACATGCATGCTTATGATACAGTCTGAATTGTACAAAATGAGATAAATGATAACTACAGTGTTCTTTGTCTCTTGTTCCTCACTATGTTTAACATACGGCTTGGAATCGTCCTGCAGAGATACATAATGTAATTCAAAGTGATTTTTTCTAGATATCTCTAACTCTTTTTTTGCGAAAACTTACTATGCCCAATTCCAAAGTTTATTTACTGCAATACACAGACTGCCTTAGCGGAGAGAAATACCACCTACTTTAGCTCATCATGACCTTTATTAACTTGAACCATCTTAAGAATACGAACGTCATCTGATGAAGTAAATACAAAACACATTCAAGTGTCACGAGACAATGATGTCCCATGCATGGTATTAAATTTGTTGTCAACATTGATGGTTATTCATGAACCTAATGTTCATAGATCACACTCTCCGTCGTCTGCAAAGTCCTGTTGGGAGAGCCTGGCGTTTTGTAGACTGAGAGGGTCCAACGATTTTGGCACAAAATCCCGAACGTCTTAAGCCAACCGGATATAGAGCAGCATTCACAACAGAAGCCATTGTGCTAGATGTGATCGCTTTACAGGGATATTTTTAGAGTAATTAACACAAGATGTCCACTGACCCCACTGCGGATGATTTGGATCTTGTGAATCTTGTGACAGAGTCCACAGCCTCAACCGACGCAGGCTGCATGGTCACCGTAATCCATGTCACTGCCATTCTTTGTGCCATGAAAATCCAGGTCAAGTGATCCATCCTCCTTGAAATGTACCTAAGTCAGCCTGAATAATATATTCGTCATTTCACCATTCGGACTGAACAAGACGCCAGGTGGCGCCACGTCTGATGGCCTTTTCATTACGGCGAAGGCTAATATCACGTGTTTTCTCGCGCATATCTTTTATCAGCATGTCCTCGATTAAAGATCATGACATATACAACATTTACAAAATATGCATGGCTTTAATGAAGACATCGCGTTAAAGGGCAAGTTCACACGAAAATAAACCTATTTTTCTTGTACTTTTTCATCATGAAAAGTAGTTACCTAGTAGTTTCGGAGGCAAAACAATTAAAATATCACACGTATCAAATATATTTTATTCGTAAAATCGTTTCATATTTTGCACATTTACAGAGAGTTCTATTTCCATGGCTTATGCCCCTTGCAATATGACGTCATTGGTGCCAATTGATAAAGGAATGACGTCATAAGACTTTAATAGACGCGTCTCACGTGGTGCATGTAGGTGTGTGGTTCTATCTTCTCAGATGCGCAGCCTAGCTATTGTTTTGTTCGGTGCCGAGCTGTCCAAGATACAACGCTAAGCACAATTACTCTAAAATTATTTCGTTTTCCAAAATCGCGACTGAGAAGACAACAATGCACTGATAACATACTGTAAGATTCGCGATTATGGTTCGAAGGGTCCGTTGTATGAATTGCGCTTATTCGTTCATTTGTGTTGCGCATATTGGCTCTTGCTGAGTTGCTGTCGTCTTCCGTGAGAGTTTAGATACCTGCTGGTTCTGAAACCACAGGACCATATGTAACTAATAATAACAATAAAAACAACTCGCCAAAAAATTATAGACGAGGCCGAAGGCCGTTTTTGTTACTATTATTAGTTACATATGGTCCTGTGCTGAAACTGATTGGAAGCGGATGGTGTACGATCCTTATATGGAAACGGGCTAAAGGGACAGCACTCTCATGAAGACCCTGACTAGGATGTTTTGTAAACAAACGCCGTAAAGTTGAAGTAACTCGATCAGGTAAGTTTGCTGTTTTAGTTTATTCTAACCACAGTAGTATTTTAGAAATGTATTTTAGCAGGGGTAGGGTGATATTTGTACATAGTTTCACTTGATAATCATGAATATCCGCGATGTTGTCTCGTTCACATGTTCACTTCCTGCATGGTTATGTCGATACTCCTGATCAGCTGATCGTTGAAGTATGCAGCAAACTCCTGTTGATGGAGTAAGTTGTGTTACGTAATGTTTTAGTTTTTCTGCCATTCCCGTCTGGAATTAACACAAATCATCTCTTTCGGTAATTAATAAACTTTTATAATAACACAGGAAAACAAATTATAAATTAAATAAACTCATTGAAATTCTGTGTGTGTTTGTGTGTACCTAATCTTTAAATAATCATGTACAATAATTTTGATTCAGACTGTTGAAGCAAAAATCCGCAAAAATACATTGTTGCAACATGTTTATTTTTTATATTTAGGCTTTATATATTTTTTATTCAAAAAGATATCTGGTTTTGCTGGTTTGTAGCTGACAAAATATCCAGTCACTATCCAAAATCATCGCCCACCTACCACCCAAAATATTCAAATTTCATGTTCAATTGTTCGGTATATGATCTCTGCCATTTTATATTTTGTGATAGTGAGATATTGATGACAAAAGTGTTAATGTTTCTATGTTGTATCTTTCAAATATGAAGTTTCGAGCCAAGTCATGCCAGACACCGATGCCCAGATAGTACATGTCCCCAGTCCATCATGGTGTAAAGTCACTGTCCAATGTACACCAGAAGCATGGCACACCGTGCTTCACAGTTTGAGGTACAAAATAATATTTTGACAATGAATAATCACACAATGTAAATACTATATGCAAATAATTTCGGTATTGAACTATTGTGTGTACCTATTTTATTCTATATTGTTGTCTTTTGTTGTAAAAGTGTAGTGTGGATGACAAATGAACGTATACTGTGAATGACATATAAAAGTTTAGATCTGATACAATTTGTACACAGTTAACTGATGATATTTGTATTCAGGCACACAGTGACATGCCTGACACTGCTGCAGATTATTACCACCTTCTTTTACAATTATTTAGTCAGAGTACATATTATTTTGACAAATCTATGTTAAAATTATTTTTATATTTTTCAGGTCCCACAATGATATGGAAGAGTATAAATGCGACAAAGCCCTTTCCATATTCATATAAAATCTCTGTAAAAAACAGTTGATGGTACGATTCTGACTAAATCATGAGCACGTGTTAATGAATCGCTATCAAATAGTGATAATACCAGGTGTTCGCGGAAGGTGAGAGTATCCTGCCCCAACGGTGTCACAAGAAATCCTGGTGTTGACATCCATTTTCATTGTGTGCAAATTGTGTTTATTTTCATGCAGATTTACAAGTCATAAAATATTAGAGTGTCTTGTGAGGTACAGTGCTTAAGACAACAAGAGAGCTGTACTTTTGAAATAGTCAACCAGTGCACTAACAAGTTGCCACTGAGCATTTAGCCAGTGCTTGTGATATTTTCTTCAGTCTTTTCCCCGGCCTTCGCCCTTGCCCAAAACTACCTGATCCAGCCTCAGCCATCCTGTATTACAGAAACTTATCAAATGAAACAGCAAAGGCTGATTGTTGTCAGAGACCATAAAACGAGATTTCAATGAAAAAAGTTTATTTTAATGAGCATAGAGAAAAACATTACATACATCAGATGGAAATCTTTCATGACTCACCTCGACAACACAAGATGGAATAACCTTTCTCTGATTCTTCAACTATTTCTGCAAATCCCCAAAGTGAACCTCTTGTTTATGAGGTGTAGATAGATTCTGAAATGAAAAAGTGTCTTTTATTAGTCAAGCTATGCATAACATTACAAAAAGATATCATACCATTTACATATATATTTTTGTCATTAAATCTAGAGGGATGCTTATATAAGAAGTAACTTGTATTGATGATATATGCATACTTTTTATTACATGTTAATAATTCAATAAATACCAAAACAGTTTATAGTTCTATCATGTTGACATGATGTGTTTATTACTGTAGGTTTGAATACTTCTTGAAATATTGTGGGCATGTTTCAATATCACTGATGTAATTTAATAACCTTACAAGTTACATATGCTTTCACAACTTGCTGGCAAATAAACATTTATGGTACTCAAATCTCTTATTTTACTTGTCAGATTGTTTGTTGTGCATGATAGATCTTAAAATGCATAATAAAATAAATTAATGAAAGTAAATCATATTATATGTTTTTCAAGTGTTAATATAAAAAAGGGTGGTGGGGTAGCCTTGTGGTGAAAGCGTTCGATCGTCACACTGAAGAACCAAGTTCGATTCCCCACATGGGCACAACATGTGAAGCCCTTTTCTGGTGTCCCCCGGTTGTGATATTGCTGGAATATTGCTAAAAGCGGGGTAAAACCCTACTCACTCACTCACTCATATAAAAAAAATGATTGCATATTTCATTTGCATTTTAGGGGGTGGTTGTTACAGACGTTTTCCTCAAAAGGTCAGGTTGGGAGGTCCAAATTTCCAAACAAAGATTTACAATTTCAAATATTTTTCACTAATATTCAACAAGTTTTACTTATAGTTTCTTAGACAATTTATATGTATTGATTGTGACAGTAAATGAGCTTTTTGTAAATATTTTACATATATCTGGTCCACTCAGTTAAACAACCCACTGATTTTAATAATTAATTATATATTAGATATTTCTTCTTTTTTATAGTTTCTAAACATTTTTTTTTAAACTCCGGCCCCATAATAGATGATAATAGTTTCCCTGCAAAGTTGCAATGCATTTTCTATGAATGGTTGTCAGAACAAACCAATAACCAATTATCCATTATATAGAATAAGATACTGTAGGCCTACTGTAGTAACTGGTTTCAAACACTAAACAAATCAATTGAGTGATCTATCTTTTCACATGGGGACGGTGTGAAGTGTGAAGTACGACATCCAATTACTTATCAATAAATATGGCAGGTATTTTGAACTCGGATGGGAAAAAATCAAAGAGAATTTTTTTTTTTCCCCAGTACGTTTCCACTCGGCAACCGACTTCAGAAACGTACTGGGACGTACCCCATTTTCGTGTTACTCTAAGCATATGGTCTCGTAATTAGCTGGTAGGCCTAATGTGTAATCTTGTTGAGACAACGTTTGGCGACAGATAGTATTTGTTTCTTGATATTGGCAAGTAGCATTGATCTGTAGCCTATAGGTGGTGGGAATAGTTACACCTGTCACCTAATACAGACAAACTCAGATTGACGACAATGCCGATACCGGCGATAGGGTCGTAACAGGGTGGGACAGGATGAATAGGCCTGCTGACGAAGCATGCGGGTCACCAGGCGTGACATAAATCTCTTAGAATATTACGTTTCCGCTTCTGAAAACGTAATAATGAGCATATAGGTAATTTAGCTACACACACATCAAAGGGTTATTCTTACAACGTTGTCACTGGTAGGCCTAATTGTGTAGATGTCGAGTCGGGGTCGGGTGACAAATTAGGTGATATGGGTCTTCTCTTGTTTCCACTTGATTTTCATCGTTTCCATACCGTGAAGTTTGCTCGTTTTGGTTCAAAATCGTATGGTTTTGCGATTTCTTGAAGGGTCAAGGGAACTTCTTCGGACCAGGCAAGGTATCGGATGCCATGTTGTCTCACCATAAACTGGTACTTGATATCTTTTGCGTTGTGACAAGACAGGGACCCAGTTAAATTGGCACCAATTACGTCATAATCTAAGGGGGATAACTCAGGCCTGTTTAGCTCGGAAAACGAAGGCCTCACAACGGCATGACATTTTCACACTTATTGTGAGCTCGCTACATTGACTGTGAGAAAAATGAGTGTATATTTTCAAACACTGATACTAACTAATTCTAAAATTCCGTTTTGTTTAAAATAAGAAAGAAAGAGATTTTTGCGTGTACACTTCCCCTTTAATGTCTAATGTTGTTCTGAGCAATATCCCCATTGCATCACAGAGACACATTGATGCAGCTAAGGCAGGATTTTAGTGATGCAGGCCGTTGTGATTTATCTGTTACTGAACACTGGCGTTTCGTTCCTCATCAGGGACATCAGTCCTGGATTTCGCAGTTTGAATGGTTGAGCCACAATTAAAGCATATGTGTCAGCTTTCTGAAAGATGGATGACTTTTCTACAACAGTGCTATTAGCGTGGTGTGGTCTCTCTGGGCCTCATGCATGTAAAGGGTCTGTGGATCATCCTGAATGGTGGATGGACAAAATGGGTCAGCTCTTCTCAGTCCTGTTTGGCTGACGCATCTATGCCTGATGTTGAAGGTTCTAAGACCCTGCTGGGGCGGTCGGGTAGCCTAGTGGTTAAAGCGTTCGCTCGTCACGCCGAAGACCCAGGTTCGATTCCCGACATGGGTACAATGTGTGAAGCCGATTTCTGGTGTCCAACGCCGTGATATTGCTTGAAAATTGCTAAAAGCGGCGTAAAACTATACTCACAAAGACCCTACTGTTGTACACGGTTAGCTGTGTGTTGACGATTGAAGCGAACCTGTCCACGCAGTGAGGTTCCTACATGTGATCCAAAAGCTTGAAAAAGTTTGGCTGCAATTGCCATTCGAACTGCGGTTTCAGCTGGGGTCAGCTGTCTGCTTCTTCGCTGTCAGTGCCCTGCACTGCTTGGCGGTTATGTTTAATCCAAACCCCAACGCTCGTTCCCATATGCCCGAAACTATTTGGTTCAGCTTTCTGCAAGGGCTACCCAGGAAGTTAAATGTCACTGTAGTCTTTGAATTGCATTTAGAAGTGAGTGATACACAACTTCTTTATCACGAGGAACTCGACGTTTCAGAGTAGATGCTTACTCCTTCTTCAGGTGAATGAATTCTAGGATGCAGAGAGCTGATATATTTACATGTAAAAACAACCACCCAACCCATCAACCTCGATGACGTTAATGGATATCTTGCTCCTTGGTTGCCTTTTCTTCTACAAAAGCCTTTGAATTATTACAAAATGAAATTACTACACAATAACCACCACCACCAACAACAACATCATCATCAACAACACCACCACCACTATTACTACTACTACTACTACTACTACTACTACTACTACTACTACTACTACTACTTCTACTTGAGTTAAGTTGCGTCCCTTGGGCACGCCATAAACCTATGGTCGTGGGTTCGAATCCCGGTTCGCCCCGATTATGTTTCTAGGTTTGTCTTCACCTACTACTACTACTTCTACTACTACTACAACAACACCTACTACTACTACTATACTACTACTACTACTACTACTACTACTACTACTGGTACTGCTACTGCTACTTCTACTACTACTACCACAACTACTGTAACGTTTGTAACAACAGCTATTACTACTACAACCACCACTTTCGCTACTACAGCTACTACTACTACTACTACTATTCGTGCTCGTGGATTTCACCAGAGTGGTAAACGTTTGCGACCTTTGTAACGTTTGTGGTAAACGAACGCTTTTCTCCCACACTAAGCCGACGCGCCGAAATATAGCTGTAATACTGTTCAGAGCGGCATTAACCCCAGCTCATTTATTCACTACCACTACCACTACCGCTACCGGTACTACTACCATTACAACTGCCACCGCCCACATCATAACGCTACCCCCACCAAACCTGTCACCTTCCTGTACGCAGTTTCCGGCGTAACGTTTTCCCCGACGTCTGTAGACCCGTGCTCTTCCATACCCTCGACGGAAGAGAACTTATGATTTGTCGCTGAACCAGACATCTCTCAATCGCAGTTGAGACAACACCCTGTGTTGGCGACACCAATGCAGTCGTTGTTGACGATGTAGCCTCAATATGACGCGTCGAACAGGACGTTTTGCTCGTAGACCTGCTGCTCTTAAACGGTTTCCTACGGTCTGGTCGGAGATTCTGCGCAGTCCGGGTATTGGGGATGCAGTCGAGGTGGCTGTGATCGTCCTTTCACGTAGGTGGCGCAGTCGGATGTAGCGATCTTTGGTGGGGCTGGTTACTTTTGGTCGTCCCGACGTTGGCCGATCACGTGTTGACCCATGCTGTTGAAACCGATCCAATAGCCTTGTGGTGGTGCTGGGGACTACATTGAAAACCATGGCTACAGTTGATCGGGGTTCCCCTGCCTGCAAGCGTCCTATGAAGTTGTTTCTGTGGACTTCTGTTACTCTTGGCATGTTGTGGAACTGCAACTGTTCGATTGACGCAGATTCCAGGCAATCCTGCACTTTAATACCGTTCATAGTGCTGCTGCACGTGAAGTATGTGCAGCTCCATGGCCCTTTTGTTAATGCACTGTTTCGAATCATACGTGTTTCCCGACTCATGGTTTGCATGTCCTTGTTGTGATAATTTTGATCCGGGAAATTTGTCATGGACACTATAACACATTAAACCTCTTCATTTTGCACCTCTTGGCCGTTAATTTTGCTTTTATGGCCAAAAATATCCGTTTTGCGGTGTGTGTTTCTAAGAGGACATACTACATGAAGGAAATAAGAGCCACATTTTTTTCCACCCGCCTACCACAGTACTGAATACCGAATGCCCTTTAAATAGACCTCCACCCCTAATCCAGCGTACCAAACGGAGCCTGTTAGCCTCATCCTGGCAGACGCTCTATCCAATAGAAAAGGGAGGGATATTACTCACTACGGCTTTCAGGTGCGGCAACCATATTTCTGTGCTGCTCTCTGTAAACGGTTTTTATATTGACTTGTCGCTACACTGAGCTACGGAGTCAAGTTTTATTACAAAGTCACGTGGTACAACAACATAAGATGAAAACACATAGGATGAAAACACAGTATTATATACAGACGAGGCTCCATAGGATAATGTCGGAGGAGAAGTGATACGCTCACGTCTTCTTTGAGAAATAAATGTGCCGTTCCTTATGCAGTCTATGTATATTTTAATTTCAGAGGCTTCTTTTAATATTACTGGCATAAACTCAAATGTCCAAACTGGTAACTGGGCACGTCTCTAAAATCGACACATCAAAGTAAAAGCTTAAACTCTTCCCCAATGCATGTACTTTCAAACAGACTGCACAACACGTCAATGTAAGGGGTCTTAATATTTGTGAGATTCAGTTTACCAAACCCTTAT